GCGGTCTGTCAAAAAAATTCCGTCGAAAGCTTCGTTGTGAATCATGCATCATCGTGATATATCGAGCTCTCTGGGAAAAGTTAGCGCCCTTCCTTTGCTTCTCGAATATCTTAGGTCATCTATCATTTTTTGAAGTGATGAGAGATTGAATTACCTGATCAAAACCGTTGATGCTGGATGAAGTGCTCAGACTCCTGGTCAAAACGTTCCTGCACCACCTGTTCCGATCACTTTACACGGTACGATCAAAGTTCAAGGTGCGGCAAATTAAGGGGTGACCCAAATCACTGATCGGAAAAAGACAATCCGAAATCAATGCCAATCAATGTCAATCAATGAAAAATCAATGCCCCTAATCATGGGGCACTTAGATGCTTTCCCCTTAGAACCTATCACAACTTTTACAAGAGGATTCGAATGCATTTTCCGTGATTTTAGGGCATGGGCGCTACTATCGATACTGTGCACATCTCCCGAGGAGCACAGAGTCCCAACCATTCATATAGGATTTTCAGATTTCTTAGCTTGTACCGCTTCATGGCAACCTTATTAGAAGGCTACCTATTGTTATTAGGATGCACAAAGTTCCTTATGTAAGCATAAGTGAAATCTTTGAAAAGGGCGTTTTTGGTAATGGTGTAACCGTCATAGAGTCGCACACGGTGGAACAGGGGAGTCTGACGCTACAATTTGGCGGTCCAAGTAAACATGCCTACTGGAGAACTCCCTCTTCCATCAAGAATTTCTATTGAGTAAAACGGTGTTTGATTTATACAAAGGCCGTGGTCCCGCGGATCTGCTTTAAATTGCTGGTCAGCTCTAGACTACACGGGGTACCTGTGGAATGAGAAAGCGAGCCAAAAACGGCAAAGAAATATTTATCCGGTGGTATATAACAATAGTTATGTCTGATAGAGACGCTCTCACATCATTTTCTTCTTTGAGATGTTTATCTCGTCGCTGTGTAAAGTGTTGACCCCTAGTTGGAGGTAAGCAAAGGGGATCAGTAGGGAAGCAAGTCACACTCGACCAGAGTTGACCAAGCGTGAGTGATGGATGAGTCGTCTGATTGTGACTGAGTTTTTGCTGAGTGGCTTCTGACAATCCAGCGCGAACCGATCGAGACGATCAAGACTCTGCCGTTTTTATGACGTGGCTGGAGAAGCAGTCTCTGTGGAAGGAGTATGAACCACTTGACTTTACCAGAAGCGAGATCTAGGAGATTCAAAGGAATTACTCTCGGACACCTGGAAAACGTGTCAATTTATCCAGTTGTAATTGAAGAGTCATGTTCCAACCCGCTACCCCTACGGACGAAGCCAAATGCAGATTTATGTCTGTGGAGCGGGCAGAGTTCAAGGCTGACTGGATGGTTTCAGACTCCATCGACGTGCACTGTTTTCATCGACCGACCGACGGCATTCCTGGCAGCCTGTTGACAACACTGGACACTCATGAATCACGCACCCTCACGACTAGGTGCTTTCAGAGTTCAACGACCGAGCGACGGCAGCGGCGCTGGCCACGCGCTGCCAACGCTGGACACATTGCGATCAGGGCCGCGTGTCACGAGGGCGCGTGTTCCATCAGTGTGCAGTGTTGTCAACACGTGTCAACACGTAACCGCCACCGTCGGCCAGTCGTCAGTTACGTCGCTGAACTCGAGTAGCCCACTCACGCGGCCCTGAACACAATCTGTCCTTCGCTGTCAAAAGATGGTTAGAAACAGGTCGGTCGGTGGAAACAAGCACGTTGGAGTCTGAACAGAAACGAAATTACCGCACGGCACTCGACTCTTACAGTAATCCGCCACGGCATAACCCCATTTTAATACGCAAATTCTCAACCGTCACATATACGACGCGTCGAAGGGGGACTTTAGACGAGGAAAGGGGTGCTTGTGGTGGGGAAGCTATCGGTTAATGTAGGATCGAAGTGCCCGAATTTTCGTTTCCGTTGACGTCTGAAAGCGCCCACTCATCTAGTCGCTGGGGAGACAAGTAGGGTTGACAGGTCAAGATCGATGCGACGTAAACAGTATGCACTGAACCAGAGATACAATTAAGAGGAAAGTTCACATTATCAGTTAACCAATACTCGCTGCTTCACCCACGCGTCCCATCGGATTCGGAAGTCCATAGTTGCCGTCAGTGGCGGTGTCGACGACGCATTTGCGAATTTCTTTTGGATAATCAGCTGATCTACTAGGAGTACGTACCAAAAGAGTGATGTTTTTGTTTCTGTTTCAATTGCTATTTATAGGCTTGAGAGCCTCTCCTGTGTTGTTTTTATAATTATTGATCATGTAAAAAGCAGTTGTTTATGACTTGCTCATATTTCTTGTATTTTGGTATAGGTTTAAAGGTTTAGAAGTGTTCCATTTGTTGTAATTTGTTTTGGTCGAAGTATCATTTCAAGGATTTCTATAGTTGGAGTTGTAACATTTAGCTAGAGGGTCATGTCTCGTTAATTTACGATTCTTGACATAGTCGTGGGTACGTTTTCTTCCTTCAACGAAGTTGCTTCGTAATAAAGTGCATAGTTTTGCGTCCATATATTTCTGTTTTTGTATTTATTGATTTTTTTTTACTCTTATAAAGTTTATACCTTCAATTATTTCATTCCTCACGCATAATTATTTCAGCTGGAGTTGTAGAATTGCTCCATACTAATAATAGTTGTTTATAAGCTTGCCTGTGTATTATATATCATTACATGACCATAAAGTTCTCAGTTTTCGATAAATAAATTTTGCACTTTTGCATAAGGAACTGTCCAACTCCTTTCAATTTCATGTTTTTTCCTCCTCGAATCATAGTTCCACCCCAAAGTTCTGATCAAATATCGCCTTGGGTTGGGTATAGCCCTTATTCTAAAAAAAGATTTCATGCCAAAATTGCCCACCGTAGCGATTTGGTAATTTTTTTCTATTACTGTAATATTTTTTGCTGCAGGATGGGTAACTCCATAGATCGTCTGGTCGGATATGAGGATGCATCATCAGAATCAGCAATTCCTGATAGCTTGGAAGGCCGTAAAAG